AGTCGATAGTCGAATCAATTGCCAATCAATTTCCTCACAACGAGATTGGATGCTTAAAATTACCCTTTGTCGTTCCATAAGCTTCCGGGGACAGATGGTTACAGCTGTCCTGGTCTTTCTCAGTTCTGCTTGGAGGCAATGTCCTATTTCTTTCCAAGAACCTGAGAGGAGCAAACACAGTCTCTATCCATATTGCTGTGTCACTGCGTGTCAATAGGCAACGTATGGTAGGTCATTTCGTCATTGGAACATTCACCCTTGAGTTATTTCTGACTCTGTCTCTGTTGTTCGAAACCTCGAAAGATAGATGTGCCCACTTTGTTGCATCTTGGCATCCAAACTAGACTCACCTTGGAAAACTCGAGCAGAAGAGCAGGGACAGCAGATTGGTGTCCTATAAGATTCGAAGAGCACCTTGTGAAACTAGACGGGGCACTAATAGATTGCTGATGGTATATTGAATGCACTCTCTAAACTGTGGAAAGCGTAAATCTGGCGTTAGGTGAACCAGCTGCTCATAAAACCGAGGATGACCAATCAGAAAATGATTTGCAGAATTTAAGGGGAACTGGAAAAATAATTCACTCCAGGTGCCGAGGACGAAGTTGTGGAGTCTCCCATTTCAAAAAATGAAATGTGAATGAAAAAGTTTTACCCCAGTTGCTGGGGGAGCACATTTGCCCGGGTGCAATCACGAGCCCAATTAGTCCTAGTTTCTCGAGAGGCAGGAGTACTCTCCTGTTCCCTTAAGGACCAGCACATGTGAGCCTCTTTTTACCGGAGCGGATTCACACACTACGAGCCTAAAGGCTAAGCCAAACTGCCATCCACACATTTTTGTCTTCTTTTTGGATGGCGCTACCGACCACTGTGGTCTGGTATCTCCAAGCCCCCGACATTCTTGGGGTAGAGGGTGGAAAATAAAGGATCCGTTCCTTGTCTCAACCAATTCCCATGTCAGGCATACTCACGCTGCCACTTTCCATAATGTATGTGACTGCACTTGTTGCGAGGCGTGGTTGAATCTCAAGGCAATAGAGTGTAGTATGCCTTTTCTTTTCCGTTCCCCCCTCCCCCCTCCTCCCCCTCCCCCCCCTCGCGAGAAAAATATCTCCATTGTTTCAGAGGTCAGGCGGGGAACCTCGTTTATTTCAATGCAATCTTGCATAGGTCTTTCCAAAATGTATCTGGTTGCATTTCTGGCCAGGCCTAGGGTGCCAAACGAGTGAAAACAAGAAAACTGCTGCTGTGGTAGCAGGTCCAGCATAAGGGGCAACTTGTTCGCAGTCGGGAGGTTGTGGACTGCTGTAGACAGTTGGCTTCCACTTATGTGGAGTGGTGTGTGGCAATCCAAGGCAGTAGTTGGGACAAAAGATGTGCTTTTCTGATGCGGGCTGCTGCTTGGTCAGATTGTCAAGAGTATGGACTGACTTCATCATGCACTTGAAATTCGTGAATCCTTTAAGAACTGCGGGCTCTTAGCTGGCGGCCTCTGTATCTGGGAACTGCTGCATGCCTCCCATGACCTGTCCCGAGCTTGCTCTCACTTTTGGCAGATCTGTATGCTTCTCTTTGTGGTGACGAGGACAGGGAGCTGTTGTTCAATGATTTTTATCGTGATAGCCCGTTGGACTCAATGGGCACATGGTTGGTGGCTTCTGTGAATCAGCGGGGCCTCTAACACTTTAGCCTGCGCAAGTGTCCATCCTGCGGGTCCCCATTTGAGCATTTGTGGCACGTGGCTTGGATTGATGATGGTTCCATGTCCTAGTAGCTGTTGGATTATTCCGCAGTTGAAGTCTTACCCTGTTCTGTTGCGCTTTTCTTAAAAGTTAGAGAAGTTTAGACTTTTTACGAGCCGTTGTTCTTGACATCTCTCTTCTGGTGCCTGTTTCAGATCGGTCCAGGCAACACACACAGCACCTTATCACAACTCTCTAGAGCTTTGTGAAGATTCATCGAACACACACCACTGATACTTGCAAAGATTTGCTGACGCAGTTTGCTGCAGTGTCAATAAGGACAGAACTGCAACGTACTTCATCTACCAACAATGTGCCCTGGGCCTGCAAAATATTGTGGGCCACTGTGCTAGTGCTCGTTACCTCAGCCTGTTTCATAGTGGACCTATTCCCTGCCTGTTGAAAGCTCGTACTCCACACGAGGAGGTTGCCTGGCATCAGTACTCGTTCCCATTGTAATCCCTGTTTCCACAGGGCACTCGGTCAGGTCAATCTACGTCCTGTGTTCTTGCGAGGTTGAGGCTTTGCCTTCATGCACTGACCTGACTATAAAGTTCTCCTCGAAGACGGACAATTATCTGACAATATGTACTTGCCTAGACTGACTTTCGACTTTCGTAAGCTGTTTGTTGCTGTGAACCTATTCATCTGACTGGGCGGGCATTCCAGTCTACGTTGATAGCTGAGACAAACCGTTCTGAAAATCACCCCTATCCTCCACGCAGGAACAAGGGGCTGGCATTGAACATCAATGCAAGAACGAAACCCTCTTTACGTGGAAACTCAGTCCCTCAGCGAAATCAAGGTTCTCAACACGTTCATCCACGTCCAGATACCGAAAATGTGCCAGTGCAGTCTCTTGTACTGCCTTTACACGAACGAAGGCAATCCCCTTCGTACCAGTGTAATCAGCCGGAGTCACATTTGAAGAGCCGCTCATTGCTGAACTCAGCAATGCCAGCCCCTTTTTGTTTGGTAGTCTCAGCAAGTCTGGTCAATTGTCACCCTGTAGGTATTTCCCGTGGTTGATATCTGTAGGCATTTCCATGGTCGATATCACTAGGGATGATTTCTGCGCCCCCTCCAAGAATTTGCGGAGTTGGTGCAGTGCATACATAGAGCGCTGAATGGACTTGCGATTTCCGTCTTTCTTTTTGTATGATCTTTTTCTTCGCTTGGATCTGTGAATTTCTTCTCATCTTGCAACGGTGTAGAGGGTAGCTCATCTGTCATCAGTGTGTGGTTCTGTCAGTTGAGGCAGCTGGGATATTTTGTAGAGCTAACATTATGCGCAAGGCCTCAGGCTTTGAGGTGCAGGGTTCTCCCATTTAAAAGAAGTGGATTCCAAAGAATGAAGCTAGGCTTAGGCTTGGAGGAGCAGGGTTCACCCATTCAAATGAAAAACTTTATTCCAAAGAATGAAGCGAGAGTCAAGGCTCAAAGTGAAAGTTGTTACAAAATCCAGATGTGCATCGTGAAAGGTATCGCTATATTATTACTAGTGCAGTGCATTGGAAGGAGGACGCTTTTTTTTTCCGCCCCATCATCTGGAGTCATTGAGGTCCCACCTCCTATGAAAAGCACTTGAGATGAAAAGTGCTCATTATGGTCATCCCTTCCCCTGTGTCTCCCGTTATCATCCCATCACGACTAGCTGAACATACGAATAATAGCTATCACAAGGGGGAGTTGTTGTGACACGTGCTGTCACATTTACGCCGTTATCCCACCAGTTCTGGAGGTTCTGTTTTCCTTGGCAGATACCTCTCGATCGTCCACTTTCTAGAGAGTAGAGATTTCTCTCTCTGCAATACCTCTCCAGGTAACAGTCTAGCAGTTGTGCTCTCGGCTCCAATCAGCTGTTTTTTTTGTTGTTGTCCCGCTGCACTCGATTTCGCGACCTAAAACGTATGCAGATGCAGATTTCTCTCTCTGCGATTTCTCTCTCTGCACTGCAGCTGTCGAAACTAAGTGTAACGGTAAATAATACCTACAAAATTTGGAATCCGTGTCCGTTTGAATGATACCTCTGCAGTTGTTTCAGAACATCCGTATGGGATGGTGGGGGATCTCTTTCCTGCCTGCTTCCCGTGAGATCTGCCACCAAAAAAGAAGATATTTCTGGGCTAAAAATAACTTTCTGTTGTATATATCTTAATCAAATCCAAACTTCCAAAGGTGAGGGAAACGTACGAACATTCGGGAAGGGGGGGGGGTACAATGCACGAAATAGTGTTGACAGGGTTTGAAAAATGAAAGTGGATATTTGTGTGTTATGTTGAGAAGAAACACAAGTTTCGTCCTCGATCAGGAAGGTTGGAGGTTGCCGTTGAGCGGAAACATCAGGGTTCTCTCTCCCGAACTTGAACCCCTCACCTGGGTTTGGAGATACCTCAGCATCGTGTGTGGCTGCTGTGCTGTGTATTGACCTCTTAACTGTTTTTTTTTGCCCCCCTAGCTTCTCCCGCTTTCGGGGACTGTGCACTGCTTGCGAGACTGATCCTCATCATGCAATTCATACCCTCCTGGACCTATTTTCCTTTTTCGCGGCTGTACTCCTGTTGCTTTCGTTCTCACCATTCGTGCAGCACTGCCGCTATGCAGTGGTGCCAGTAGGCGGTGTCAAATTCCTCTTTGCTGGGCCACTTCTGTAGTGCATTTACAGAGTTCTCCTGTTCATCCTTTATGTTTGGGTTTCGCCCTTCTTTCTCCCCTGCATTTTATAACCCTGCTTTGGACGCGTTTGTCATTTTATAGGCAAACCACTCTGTGGTTATTGCCTTAGTGCACGTGTTGGTGGAATGAGCAAAACTGGATGAGAAAAGCCAGTGAGTTGGCTTGGTGAACACGCTATTTTTTTGTCAAAACCTGGTCTGCAGTGTAGTTAGCATGCCTATTCGTCCAATTAGAGTGGCTTCCAACGTCCTACGTGTGAATCTCCATGCAGCTATCCGTTCGGTACAGCGAAGAAAACCACTTTCCTCTGTTTGTTTTCTCATGTGCTTCCCTTCCCCGTTCCCCAAATCATTGTTTCCGCGTGTGTCGTCCTCCTTGCCATCCTCGGTGGTGTTTCACACATTTCCCCTTTCGTTCCTTATCTGTATATGCTTCTTCGTTATGTGCGTCTGAAATTCTGAAAGGTGCCTTCAAAACTCGATATGAGATTCTTCAAGGTGCAATTCTGTTCCTGAAAGTGAATACTGATGTTCTGGAAGTGTCTTCGGACCAACCTCGGCTTGTTTCTGTTTATGACGGCAGGAGGAGAGGTTGAAACCCCGGAAAACTGAGGAAGATGATGAACGGTATGTCAAGCCCTTCCAGATGCCCAAAGTGTGGATTCCTGTGTAAAAGATGAACAAGAGCTTGTGAAGAATCGAATCTGGTCAGTCACAGCTCTGGTGCTTGTTAACCTGCGCTAAGGAAGCTAAGGAAGCTATTCACAAAGATATCACCCACTTGAGATTGCTCTAAAGAAATCTCTTGAACATGTTACGAAAGAAAGATACAGTACTTGCAATTCAAAATTCGCATAGTACCGTGGATTACTTGCAGAGGAATGTTGGTTTAAATAGCTTGCAGATCAATGTTTGTGGCTCCATCGTCGGGCAAGGGGAGGGGGGCAGAATGAAGGAATATGTTGGTAATTGGTTGGTGTAAATAGCTTGTGTATCGGTTTTCCTGTATGGGGAAGATGGTCGTCGGTGTTGAGAGGAAGAAATCTGAAGAAGGCAAAATACTAAAATAGGGATGTCAATTGTGCTTTTTCGGTTAGGGGACAAAAGAAGGGGAGGACGAGCTTTCATGCCTTTTTTTATTTATCATTATTATACTGATAATTATAGTATATTACTGGGAACCCCGTAGCGGCCAGCCTAGTTCAAGCCTCCAACGAAGGAACATGTGGCAGCTGCACCCGACCTATAGGTGGGCGATACCGGCCAGGGGCCAGCCGGTAGCATCAAGGACTACGCCAACCAGACCAATCCCTGTGCCTCCCCTCCGGTCCCCTCCCCCTGCGAACATCAGCAGTCTCTGCTGAATGCCGCTCGGGGACCAGCGGCCTGAAGGCCTGAAAGGCCGTTCTGTCCAGATTTGACAGGTACTCGGATTGGTTGGCCTCAAAAGAATTGGCCTTTGTAAAAATAAAAAACGAAAAAAGAAGGGGAGGAGAAATGGTGATCGGAAGGAAATGGCCAAGCTTATGGATGTCGAGCAAGAGAAAAAAGAGCACTCTTTTCTGTTCAGAGCGTAGCTGCAGCTCTAATCGCAGGGAATGATGTCTCATGTAGGTTGTTCCTCTGTGAGCCAATTCAGTGTCTCATCTTGATACTCCGTTCGTTTCTCCTTTTCATTTTGTTCTCGCTTGACCCACTGCTGCAGTAGGTGGCTTTCAGAAGTTTACATGACAAAATTCGATTGGTTGTTTGATGCGGAGATCAGGTCAAAGGACAGCGATCCTGGGCTGGACAAGGATGTGAAGGAGAGAGACAAGTCTCTTGACAGGGACAGACCGGCGCGCGACCGTTCTTCAGAAAGGAATGATAGAGATCGTGACAGGGACCGTGACGCGGATCGCCATCGAATCAGAGAACGAGACAGGGATCGCGATCGTGGGCGGGACTACGATCGAAGTGGCAGGAGAAGGTAATTGGCCAAAGTTCAGGGATTTTGTCTCAGACTTCTCCCTGCATTGTATCCTTACTAAGGCATTATTCGAAATGGTAAAGCAGATTTTCTTGTCGAAGTGACAACGGCATTTTAGAATTGAAAGTCTTTTGAAGGTTAGAACCCTGGGGAGTGATGTGTGCTCCCAATGGGCAGGGATTTTCTTGTCTTCGTGTCTTGGAAGACGTGGGTTGGAGATGGGGAGATTAGATGTGTGGATTGCTGTCGGTTGTCAGGAGGCAGACACTGCACGTCAGGCTTTGTCGTATTTGGTTTGGAGCAGGGTCTGTTTATGTCATGAAACTGTTTAAGTGAGTGACTGCTGCATGTCAGTCTCAAATCGAAGCGGCGGTGGTTCGACTTGGGAAAAGGACCGTAGCCCTTTCATGAAAAGGACCCACACTTCAGCACTTTCTGCTGCAGGAGTTTAACGAAGTAGGAAAGAGAATGCCTGAAGCTGTGAGAGGAAAATTTAGAGGAGAACAAAGCAAGATTGCTGTTGGAAGCCAGTCTTTTGGGGCTGGCAACCAGATCTACTGCTGGCTTGTTCAAACCCACAATGAGACATTGGGTTTCAAGAACAGATGCATTCGCAGCTTAGTTTTTTACGGGCATACGACGTGGATTAACAATTCTTACTTCCCTTTTGGCCCATAGTTTAGGTTTTCAATCGGTCATATGCCTCTTTGCTTCTTTGTACTCTTATCCGATTGGCCCTGAGGTAGGCCGGCAGCATTATCAGGCAGAGTCAGCCATGTTATGTATTTGGGTATGCTGTTGTGTCGGGTCAGTGTGCCCTTTGTGGAAAGGGCTTCATTGTACTCTTATCCGATTTGCCCTGAGGTAGGTCTGCAGCTTTATCAGGCAGAGTCAGCCAAGTACATATTTGGGTATGCTGGTGTGTCGAGTCAGTGTGCACTTGTGGAAAGGGCTTCATGGAATCACTCTTCTTCTGTCCTCTAATTCTTCTCCTCCGTGAAATGCAGGTCGAGATCAAGGTCAAGAGAGCGGTCAAGGGACAGGGAGAGGGAAAGAGAACGTGACAGATATGGGTAAGGAGTTTTACCAGTTGTCCGTGCACTTGTGGTAAAGTTAACAAACCTCCCCCTCTGTGGAGATATGGGTAAGGAGTTTTACCAGACAGTTGTCGGTGCACTTGTGGTAATTTTGAACCTTCAAAGTTAAAAACCTCCCCCTCTGTGGAGATATGGGTAAGGAGTTTAAACAGACAGTTGTCCGTGCACTTGTGGTAGTTTTGATGGACTGCATGGGTTCCTGCCTGCCTTTAGTACCAGTGACATGAATGGTTGATGAACTCGATCATCATAACTCACATGTTGCCCAGCTTTTGAACCTCCGAAGTTAAAAACCTTCCCATCTGTGGATGATCGGAGGAAATGAAAAGCAAAATGGGAAGCAGTTTTCTGGGGATTTCATTGTGCGAATAAGTCTCAACTTAAATTTGGGCTCAATTCCTCTGAATCTTTGACTGCGGAGGAGGTGATTTTCATGCTGAATCTTCCGGCACTGGTGTGCAGGTCAAGCAGAATAGCTCGTGTTTGGTACTGAGGTGAAAGCAAAATACAAGCGGGTGTTTCACAAACATCAATCTTGTTGTACTGGTGTCCATACTTGGACAGAGACTGCATCAGGCTGTATTTCTTGTCCTAACCCTGTAGAAATCGCTACAGGTCAGTTAAATCACCAGTACGCTGCACCAGCCCAGTTGAGAATCCGATCGACCCTCTCCTAAAAGTTCGGAGGCTTGCGACAGGGCGTCCAAAGGGTCAGTAGAAAAGGAACTTGTCCCAGGCCGTGGGCTAGCACTAGTCCCAACCTTGAACAAAAAAAAAGGTTTCCTCCGTCCTCAGGTGGGCCCTGTACTAAGTCCCCCAACTTTCTGGAGTTGGATTCTCCAAATGTGCTGGTGGTGTTATGTAGAATCCTGGTCCTTTGTGCTTGGACTCTCTCTCTCTCTCTCTCTCTCTCTCTCTCTCTCTCTGTGTGTGTGTGTGTGTGTGAAAGAACGAAAAAATCCGTAAGTATGCATCCTGGCACCTGCAAGGGCTGCAAGATTATCACGACATGATCCATTGAATACCATGATATCCTGTGACCTTTCCCCCCTATGGTTTTGTGTCCGACTTCTATTCCCTCTCTTTCGTTGCTATGTCCGTGCATTTCTCTGCTTTCTGACTTTTCCTGTCTCTGGCCTCTGTGACAATGCTTTGATGTGTGAGCCTACCTCTCTTGCTATATGCTCTCCTGTCAACACCGATGCTATCTGCTTTGTTTGTGGACTTGGGCGATCCTTTCTCGAGGTCATGTGCTGCGGTTGTCCTGGAGGTTGCCAGTGCATGATGTCCCCTCTGCTCCTCCTTTGTATGGCAAGCACGGTCCTTTATGCATGCCCGGAGTGAACCGTTGGCAATGCAAGTTCTTAGATCACAAATACGAGGAAGATATGCAATGTGACACAGCAGAAATTGGAGTGTTACTGAAATCCAACCTCACACACAGCAGGAGGGGTCCAAAGATAAAAGGCCCCTTCAGCTTCAGTCATACATAAGAAGTTATCAGGTGGGAGATTGGGGAGCTGAAGATGAAGAAGAAGAAGAAGACAAATGTATGGATCTATCAAATAGTAATACCCTCTCCTCCAGAAATCCCTCCAACATCCTGTACACCCCTGACAGTGGATCTCAGATCCAGAGTCAGGGAGCCTGGCTCCTGATATACCAATGGCAAGTCTGGAGTCTGTCACTGTTCCTCTCTGTCTCTCACTCTCTTTCTCTCTCGTACTCGAGAGGAAGAAGAGATGGGTGATAAGAAGAATACGTGTGGGAAGGTCCTGTCTCTCTCCCCCTCGCTGTCTCAGCAAGATGTCCTGGAAGAGGAAAACGGCCTGGCACGGAAAGTCGAACACAAGCCCGTCCTCAAAATGAGCTGTGTGAGAAATGCGAAACAGTATGCGTCTGAGGTCCGGATAAGACAAAGTCCTCGGAACTGGGAAGTCCTGCAGGAAAAAGTGAATTGGCAACAAAACGCAAATACCCAGAAATCGAAATCAAAGAAACTGGACTGAACAGATAAAGTGCACACGCGCTGGACTCAGATGAGGTAAAGTGCACACTCGCTGAATAGAAAAAAATAGTAAAATGCTCATCCGCCTCTCGGGAATGGAAAGCAAAGCAAAGCTAGCGAACTGAATAGGTTGGACTGACAACAGACAAAGCACAAATGCCAGTCTGGTAACCTACTCTCCTTGGCCCTCGAAATCGAAAACTTGTCTAGAGGGGCAGGGCTGCCCAGGCCCACAGCATGCCACAGGCCTCGACATGATTTCTCCATGTCTTGTCCTCGATACATGTTTGGGTGATGCTCGTGTGTGGGGCTGTACAGAGTCCGTTACAGTACTTACCGGATTAGAGCAAGCTTAAACAGAGGGAGAAGACAGACTGCTAGCAGCTATTGATCTCCCTTCGATGCCACCATTGGAATTTCCACTGCTTGTCTTTCCTTGCTGATTATTTTCTACTTGATATTGATGTGTTTTGTATGCAACACACCGTTAGGTTAGATAGGTCGGCATTCTAGTCCCGTACATTGTTATGTGCCAGTTGCTGCAGCTCGATCTGATGGATTACGTTATGCTTGCACACAGGGAGAAGACAGAGTACTACCGTCTTCACCCGATTAGAATGCTTGGTCATTATAGCTGTATTTGGTGCAACTTGTAGGCCAGGCGTTCTCTTCTGGTGAAGATAGTAGTATCTCCCTGCAAGGCCTCCTTTGGACTTCCATGCCTTGCCATTCCTTTGTGTATTGATAGTGGATGTGAATGCGTTTTGTGTGGAAGACGCCGTTAGGCTAGCTAGGATGGCATTCTAGCCCCCTGCATTGTCGTGTGTCTGGGAGAGCAGAGAGTGCAAATCATCTGGCCCTTGCTGGAGAGAGTGCAGTTATCTCGGTGTCTGTCGCACTGAGGGCACTTGGTTTGCCTCTATACCGTGTGCCATGTTCCAGGTGCAAAAGCACTTCCTCGCAAGCAGTTCATACGTTCCCTAGTAATATACAAGACTCATCCTTGGGGGAGGTTCGGTTGTGGTGGAAGCGACCTGATGCTCCCCTTCCATGAAACTCCTTGCTGTTGGGTGTAAGGGTGAGAACCTTTGTCTAGTCCTCTCTGAAGTAGACTGGAAGGATGGTGGTTGCTGATGTGCGCTTGGACCAACCGGTAACAATGTCCAGCTCTGTTCTTATCCCTACACTACTAAAATTGCTAGCGTCACAAATCTGAAAGCCGGGCCGTCGCGGTCCTACTAGTGCACGGCCCGGATTGTCGGGAGATTGTGACAAAATTGAAATCTGGGCCGTTGCGGTCCTACCGGCCAATGGCCCAGATTGTCGGGAGATGGTAACAAATCTGCAATCTGGGCCATCGGGTCCTACCGGACTGGCAGCCTGGATCAACATGGACTAAAGATCGTGCAATCTGGGCCATCGGGTCCTACCGGACTGGCGGCCTGGATCAACATGGACTGAATATCGTAAGCCCGCGTCCAAGTCCAGGCCGTAGGTACGGTAGGCCCGACGGCCCAGATGGCAGCACGTGTTTTCCGTTTCAATGGGTTGTTCGTTTCCCAACGAGTCTGCTGTCGTTCGGTGCCGTTGCTGCAGCGCCCCTTGGTCTGTTTCGAAAGCGGTGCCCGTGCCGTTTAGTGCTGTGGGTGCAGCACCGGTTCGTCTGTTTCGAAGCTGAAAGTGCCCGTGGTTATTAATTGCCTTGAAGCGCCCGTCGTCGTTCCATAAGGTGCTCATTGTAACATAACACACTTTGGCGAAGCTCTCTGTCTCTCCACCTCCCTCACTCCCTCTCCTCTGCCGTTAACCAGTTGGCCCTTGGGGATTGTGCTGGGCCCGGTGATGGCATGTGTTGGTGGCACGTGGACGCCAGCAAACTCCAAAATGGGAGATCGAGGTCAGTGGTCAATTCCCTCCTCTACCCGTCTCTCTCTCTCTCTCTCTCTCGCGTGCGCGCGCACGCTCGCTCGCTTGCTCAGCCAACGCCCTCAGCACCCCCTCCACTTGCAGTCCGCCAGCGGTCACTCCACCACCAAAGCCAGCGCCTGCCCTCCGCCAGCGCTCACTTCCCTCCTCTCTCTCTCTTTCTCTCTCTCTCTCTCTCTCCCCTCCCCCCGTGCACCTGTGCTCCGCTCCTCTCCTCACCAGCACTCCCTCCTCTGCCAGCGCTCCCCTTGCTGCCTGCGGTCGGCGTCGTCATCAGCTTGCCCTGCGCCAGCGCCAGCGCAAGGGCTCCC